TAAGTGAGAGCAAAGGTGTTTATGGACTTCATGGCTTCTAAGAGCCAATAAAGTACAGCTCCTTCATCACAGACAGCCCATTAACAACCCATGTTTATTAGTAAAAATCCTCTGAACTTAATACGCCTTTGTCAGCAAAAGTAATTGATCTTGGCCAGTTAATTTGGCTCGTTTTGCAGACTGAGGACTTGCCACTCTTTTAAGAGTATCCTACAACTCTGTGGGCTTTACTCCCTTCGGTAAGGAATTTCCAAGAATGCTGAGCCCATAGGGTTCTTAAAATAGTTTACTAAAAGAGAACACAAACATCTCTCATTGGCACCTTGGTCTTTAGTCTTACAAGTCTGAAGACATTGGGTTTTACAGAAATGTCTGTGCCAACTGCCACCATCCTGTTCCCTGAAAACTTGACCAAACAAAGGCAAACGGAACTGCATGCTGTCCAGTTAGGCAGGTAGTAAAAATTCAAACTTAAACAAAAAAGAAACAGATGCAGGCTTTAACCAATGCTCGGTATACTTTATAAACAATTCTTTGCTTGGTATACTTTAACCAATGCTTGGTATACTTTATAAACAATTCTTTGCTTCTGTGTTAGGAAAGAATCCTCCTCTTTCCATTTTAAAAGGAGCATAGGACCTGTTCACACTGAACACGTGCCATAGGGAACGCACTCCAGTATGACTCAGACAACTCTATAGAACAGCCAGAAGCACTCCAGTTTTCACCCCCCTGATTAGTATTAGGGCTCTGGAGAAGTAATTCTCTTGGCTCTCTTATTTATGTAATGGGTACATGGGGGTTATATAGTTTAACAAGGGATAGTAAAGAGCTGCATTTTTCTGTGAGTCACGATGATATTCACACCTAAAAATGTTAGATGCTCTGCTTCTGGAATGAGTAAGAGCAAGAGGTTGTGAAATCCTCCCCAGATATCGTCACACGTTAGCATGCTCTCAACTGTCTGGAATGCCGTATATACTGGAATGCCTGCCCTAAATCGAGGATGTAAAATCATGCGCAAGGCATCTGTTTCATTATCTAAGGAATCCATCTCAATAAGATGAAATGTCTTTTCTGGTGGTCTGCCCCTGTCACCACATCACAAAAACATGGGTAGACCATTTTCACAAATTCAGAGAGTGAAACAAAAAAGGGTCGAATGTAAAATGTAAGCCACATGGCACCACATGGCTTATGTGATATCTCCTTGAGAGCGAGGAGCACCTCGGAGAGTTGGTAAGTCATCCACCAGAGATGGAGTACACACGGGGGATGCCTCACATGTGCATGACTCTGTATGGGGTGCTCCCAGGCAGGCAGAACCCTAATGAGAACGGGATATCTACCTACAATAGATTCTCCCAGGCAAGAAGGCGCAGGTCAGCTCTGAAGGGCAGAATTGTCACTGGAAGAGAAGCGATTACTGGGTTTCAGTGTCCTACGTCATAAGACAGCAATAGAAAAGAAGAATACTAGTGACACTGAACACTCACAGTGCTCAGTGGCGAGGTTAGAAAGACATGCAGAAGCTACAACCTGCTACCTGGAAGTGTGTGTGTGTGTGTGTGTGTGTGTGTGTGTGTGTGTGTGTATGTGTGTGTGTGTGTGGGTGGGTGGGTGTGGGTGTGGGTGCGTGTGTGTGTGTGTATGCACGCACACGTGAGAGAAGGAGGAAGGGAAAGACGGCAGGTGAGCTAGCCAGTGCGAGCCTTAGGAACACAAATGAGAAAACTGCGGTCGCTACCATCTGGGGAATGAAGTGGTCACCGAGTTAGTTGCAGTGGGGTGATGATAACCGACTTTGAAAGCTCAAGCACTCACCAGGTGAAGAAGGAAAAGAAAGGAGTTCCAGACCAGGCCAGCAGCATGAGCAAAGGAAAACACTGATGGTCCAGTGTTCTAAAGACATGTGCATGCATATATACATATGGGTGTATGCGTGTGTATGCATATATATACATACATATTTAGAGACATGAAAATATTAATGTATAGTTCATGTGTGTACGTGTGCCATATACATATACAAATACAAATATGCCGTAGCTGACTGTGTTGCTGCCCCACCTCCATCCTCTCACCCTTACCACATGAGTGTGCATGCCAGACTCCCAATGGCCAGCACCTGTGCTTCTTCCTCTCACTGCTAGAGGCCACTTTGTCACCTGAGTGGCAGGCTCATATTGGTACCCAATCAATACCCCTCTGGAGTAGAAGGGAGTTGCTGTAAACATATCTCATGTTCTTCACCTCTCAGCAGGAAATTCTGAGGCATGAATCTCATACTGGCTTCCAAAATTTGTCCGGCAGGAGTGCACTCTGGTCGGGTACAAGGATACTTGCTTGGTTGGGTACAAGGATACTTGCTTGGTGACACCCCCTCGCCAGGGTGCCTCCCCTCCCTCCCCAGAGTCATCACCACACTCCTCTGCCAGTGTCCTCTCTAAGGAAATGACTTACATGTAAATCCTTATCTCAGGGCCTGTTTCTGGGGGAATCCAAACTTGGACATGTAAATGTGTGTGTTTGCATTTATATTTATAAGCTTGTTTATATAGATTTGTATAGTTATGTGGATATATACACTTGTAGATATAGACGTACACACATACAAATATATATGCACACAGATACCACATACATACCCCTGGGCCAGTCTGTACATTTGCAATGTTACTTCTAAAGCAAACATCTGTAGTCATCACTTTCAAGAACAGGGCCATTTGCTGCCAAGACATTATCTTTTTTTTTTTCTTTTAGGGTACTACATCAAAAGGCAGCAAAGTGAAAGAATATTAAAAATGAGGTTATTTTAATAACAAGCTACAAAAAGACAAAGCTTACACCTCAAATTTTTGTGTCCACAAAAAGAAAAACTGCTCTCGGGGCCCTCCTCATATCCAAGCCTGCATACAAATGTCCGATCCCCAAGCAAGAGCTCCCTCCTCTCTTTTACTTATCTTATTAGCTTAAAAACTGACATTAGGAACATAAGAAAAAGCCATTCACTGCCCCTTATGTGTTAAGGGTGGCAACACAGAGAGCTAGAAAGAATACAGGATTAGGAAATTAGGAAATTAAAATACAGGAATAGAGAAAAGATACAGAATATATGTCTGGAGAAGACTCACTAGCAGGAAAGCTTTGGCAAGTAACATCTCTGGATTTTTATTTCTTCAATTGAAAATGGAAGCAGGACTTCCAGGCACCTGAACTTGGCTCTCAGGTATGTTTTGTTCAGCATGCTTGTGTTTACAAACACAAGAGATCTGAATGCCTTGAGCACATTTGAGTTTGTGACCCCTGTACACATAATTCCTAAACTCATTCGCAGTTCCCAACATTGGATAACTTTGTGTGATTGTCACCAGTAAAACCACAGCAGCCTTCCATCCTCCTGCCACCTGCTGAACTTCCTCTCCAAGGAGGCTTAGCTGCCTAACCTTGGCCCACCTTTATGGAAAAGACAATTCATATAGATGCAGATTTAAAATTTCCTACTGAAATGTGTCTTGTTTTTCTTCAATTTACCCAAAAGAATGAGACTAAATTTTTAAAAAATTATCAGAAAACTTTACCAACATGGAAGAAATAAAATTAAGACATGGGCAGCAGTTAATGGCTTATTTACATAAAAATAACATAAAACTATTTAAACATAATTAGCAAGAGGAGAAAAACATGGCAGTTGAGTCTGAATATGCAAACTTCTGTTTATCAGGAAATTACTTTTGTATTTTTGTATATTATTATAGTATTATGGGTATTATATACCTCATATTACATACTTTTTATATACTCTTCTCTCTGCCTCCCTTCCTTTCTTTCCTTCTTTTCCCCCATACAAAAACCATTACTCTTGGTCATGTTTACCTTAATATGGACTGTCTAGGTTGTGTGTGCATGTCTCATGTAGGGAGAGGGAAAGACTTTAGAAAAGACATGCAGAGCAATGGCAAATGCTAAGACTATGATTTATGATGGTTCACATTTGATTCTACTTTGGTGAAATTAGGATACTGAAGTTCTCTATGTATGTTTTTTTAATATTCTGATATGCATACTATATGTTCTTCATTATAAAAGATTAAAAGTTTTAAAAATATATGGTTGTGCTAACTCCCTACTGTAAATAACCTGGAGCACTGAATAAGACTAGATTCCCCATCGTCACCATTACCATCATCACCACCAATGATCGTACTCCAAATTTAAAATACATTTATTAAAAAGATCCCTTTAAAATTATAGCATACGCCAAGTTTCTTCTTTCATTCCTAAGCACTCTGAAGCTATCCTCAGTATATGAATTCAAGTCAAAAATTCTTAGAAAGGCAAGTCTATGGCTTTGTCCCTACTCTGCTCTGAATCCACAGTTTAGTGGCCATTTCCTCCAATCCATCCCACCCCCCGCCAGTGAAAATGACCAAGCCTCAGATTAGGTTCTCTCACCCCACAGAATACACTGAAGCAAGCTGCACTTATCCCCATCTGCTTCCCATCTGACTACATTGAATAACTCAACAGCTGCCTCAGCCAGAAGCTTCTCTGCCCCAAAGAAGAGAGAACCCAAATCTTCCCAAAGAAGAAGGCAGTGGAGGGAAACCAGCCTCCCTCCCTCAATCTTCATTCAAACCAGTGATTCTCAACCAGGTGTGATCTTGCTCTCCAGGAGACATGTGACAACATCTGCAGACATTTCTGGTTATCATAACTGAGGGGTGTAAGTGCTATTGGCACCTAATGCGTCATAACCAGGGATAATGCTAAACACCCTACGATGTGCAGGATAGTCCATACCACAAAGAATTACCCACCCCAGAATTGCAAGAGTGCCAAGATTGAGAAACCTGCCCTAGAGCAGCAGACTTTTTCCTTGGCTCCACATCTGGAGGGAGAGGAGGAAAGACTGTAAAGAAACTCAAGGCTGTTCTTGGTGGATCTCACCCACAATGAACCAGAAGGGACACCCTTAGAACATCCAGGGCAGTACTTACAACACAGGAACACCTGGTACATTTGTTTCCTTCTGGCTGAAATTCCTCCCCTTCTCGGTACTGCACACCCTCAAACACACAACCTAGAAAGCAAAGTTTAGAATTAGGACATGAGCCTTTGCTCAGCTTGACACGATGCTTCTGTCCAGTGCTCATCCATCTCCCTCATCTAGCTCCCACCTCCACCTCCGCCTCTACCTGGCAGAGTATCCTCTTTAACCAGGGGACAAGATCGCTTCATAGTTTAAAAAAAAAAGTACAAAAGAGTGACAGGAGTCCAGAAACCTGAAGATGCTAGAAAGCAAATAAGACGATGGAAGCCAGGTCAGCCCAAGGGGGAACACTGGATAGTGGCGAGCCCTACAAGTCTAAGGAGCTCCCCATGACCACCATGACCACAGCCAGGGGAACTAAACCCCAGAGGGGCTGGAAGAGGCAAACAGGAGAAGGCAAAGTGAGAGAAGTCCACAATGAGCCACACCCAGCAAATGACACAAATGACATGACCACTTGGTGAGTATCCAGGGAATATCCAGCCTCTGTCAGGCTCTTTGTATCCCTGATCTCATTCCATCTTCACAGCGAGTCTACAAAGTGGGGACTCTTGTAATTATCTCCATGGATGAGGGAAATATGGCTGAGAGAGAGGAAATAATTCACCCAGTTGGCAGGTGGCAGAGCTGATATTCAAACTCAGCTCTGACCTACCAGTTGCACCACACACAGGGTCGGACACCAGGGCAGGAAGGGGAAAAGGCAGGGCAGGAGATGCCACACAGTTTTTCAGACCTACCCTATGTGATATTAAAAAGGCTTAGCCACTAAGTTTGGCTAAAACTAGGATGAAAAGACCAGGAGGTGTCTCCAATTCAGAATGATCCTCAGGACACTGCTGTATTCTTTTTTTTTTTTTTTTTTTTAATGTTTATTCATTTTTGAAAGAGAAAGAGAGAGCAGGGGAGGAACAGAGAGAGAGGGAGACACAGAACCCGAAGCAGGCTCCAGGCTCTGAACTGTCAGCACAGAGCCAGACGCGGGGCTTGAACCCATGAACCATGGGATCATCATGACTTGAGCTGAAGTCAGATGCTTAACTGACTGAGCCACCCAGGTACCCAGGACACTGCTGTATTCTTAAGAAATCCCACAAACGACTTGAAACACAGGCTGACCAGTAACCCCTGTGCCAAACAGGCCATGAGAAGACTGTCAGCTTATGGCTGACACTTTCCTCAGGACTGTCTTCACAAGATGCTTTGCCAGAATAGCTGAGGTCACTTTCCACCTGGTAGACAGTGTCGGAACGAACACAGTAGTGCCAATAATCAGCAAAGGGGGCTCTTGTGAGAGACTGACTCATGCCCCTGAGAGTATTTAAAGGCCTGCCACCTGAAGTCATCGACAGAACTCACCAAACTCTTGAAGCAGTTGGTTCTTGATAAAAGGAAACAAGTATTACCCATAACCACCTAATCTGGCTACAGGACCTATTCATTTTAAATCTAGATATGGAGCCCTTTGTTCAACTGCAAGACATGAAAACAAATGCTACTGAGTCTGAAGCTAAATCACTGAGGGAAACTGTGGTTTTAAAGTCTATTTGATACCCACACCCAGAGCTAGCATGCAACCACCTCTTTGCTGTTCCTGCTGATGCAGAAAGACTCAGTAAACTTGGGTCCCTCCCAGAGGCTGTATCTCAGCATTGTTAATGATGGCAGGTGCCCAGTTGTCTCCTTTCAAAGCATGCTTCCAACAAAGGGTCTTCAATTCTTTCATGTGTTTGCACACTGGTTTTGTCACAGATTGCCAGACAGATCAACCACAACAATCTACATTTGACAACTTAAATAAAGGAATTTTAAATGAAAATTCTATGTAAACTGTTTCCATCACAACCCACCATCACTGAGTAAAGAGTCAGACAAAAGGAAAGAACCGACAACAAGAATGTCCTGAAATCTGTTTCAGGAAGAAACCGACCGCAGACTGTACGTGTTTGTCATTATGCAGAATACCATTCTGTGATCAATGACAGATGTCAGTCCTTCTGAATTACCAAGGAGAATACCCCATGGCTTTCCTTGACTGTCCCTACCTAGACTTGGCTGAGTCCTCCCTCCCAAGACAAATGATAATACAGTCTGGATGTGGCCTCTTCTGAGTCTTCTGATTTACATCCCACAGGTTGGCCTTTGAAATTAAAGACAGAGAACAGAGTTGATTCTTGACCCCATCACCAAAGGCACTCAGCCTGCCGAGGTGTCAGGGGGCCAGCGTGTGGCCCTGGCAAGCTAGCTTTTAAAGATTTGTCTCCCAGGGCATCTGGACCCAAGCAGACAATTATTACAGTGTGTGTTTGGGGCGGAGGGGAGAAGTAGGCAGTGCAGTATAGTGGCCAAGAAAGAAAAGGGACCAGGCCCCAACTCCAACTCACAGGCCTTGGAGAGGTCCTTATTCTCACTGGATCTAATTTCTTCTTGTGCGAACTGCGGACATAACTCATCCCTCCCTGGACGGTCAGGAGGGCTTAGCACTGCAGTATGTGGAGGCACAGAGTTCAGGCTTTCCTTCTAGGGAACTCAACCAAAAGCCAAGCGAAAGAAGCAGTTGCTCAAATATGATAACTTCAACTGCTGAAATAAACTCACTCAGCTCTTTGTATACCCACATTTTCAAAGGCAGCCTAAAAACACGACGATCTCGTAACTGAGGAGGAATGTTACATACACTGAGTTGATTCTGTACCAATAAAGCAGCAGTCTCTTCAACACAACTGAATTCATATTTAAGAGCTACAATAAATTTTAAATCTACATGGCATATAAAATTTGCTCTGTTATCAGTCTTAAGCTTGCCGGTGTATAGGAATTATCTGGGAGGCCTGGATTCTGCCCTCAGAGATGCTGATGGAATTGGTCTGAAATGCAGCCAGGGCATCAAGATTTATTTTTTAAAGCTTCCCAGGTGATGTTAATGTGCAGTCTAGAGAACTACTGATCTAACTTAATAAGGTCCCTTTAGGCATTTAAGGGTATGGTTACATAATACAAAGCATTTAATGCATTCAGAGGCAAAAGGAACACAAGCTAACTGTTTGATAGATACAAAATAATTGGATTATGGAAAGAAATCTTTTACTTTCCACCAATTTTTGGCCTTCTTGTAAGCTCGTCCAAGAATACAAGCTCCACAGAAATCCCAATGTGAAAAGGAAATCTGGCTCAAAAAAAGACTGTCCAGGGAACTCAGGAAGGTTAGAGGTAGTGGAGAGCAGCTGTCTTTACTGTCATTCGAAGATGAGAAAAAACTGGATTCTCTGACAGGGACTCAGGTCCAGGCTCATCTCAGACTGTATTTGGGTGGGGGAGGGGAAGCAGCTGCCTGCAGAGGGAGCAGGGCTCATGTATGCAGAGCATCTCAGCATAGTACTGAGCCATTCCCCAGGAAGGTTTGAAGAACAGAAAGCCCCTTGGAAACGGTACTGGTTGTGAGTATCGCCTCCAGTGAGGAAAAGCACTGAGAGTAAAACCAAAACTCAGAACATCTGTCTGAGAGCATGGGCCAGGGGCTTAAAGGATCAGAAAAAAATCTCTCACCTCAAAATCCCTGGGCTTGTACCTAAGGGCAAGAAAAGATGCAGGAGGCCTTTGTAATCCTGTTCAGAAAAGTAAAAGGAAACACTCTAGCCACTGGAAGGGAAAGATCCTTTGCTGTCAGCTAGGCAGTGGGGCCCTCTAAAAAGACAGTGGATTCAACTCATTGCACCACACCGAAAACTGAGACCAGCAAAACCCTAAGCTAAATTCACTTAGGGACCCAGCTCTCAGTTTTCAGAAAACATCTGGTCACCTCATCACCAAGGCAAGCTCTAGCCAAGATACTGCAATATGAAGCAGTAAAAAGACATTTCTGGAAACAAGAGAAAGCCACAGCTTTTCCTTCCAAAGTAAGCGTTACCTGTGGCCCTGTGGAGTGGAAAGCAGGCCTCTGGAGCCTGGAGCACCCACGTGCCAAGACCTACAGCACATCGCATTCACGCTGAGCACACCAGAGAGTCCAACCGGACATTTCTGTGCAAAGGAGTTTGCTCTCTAAACCCGTTATGTACACAGCCACAAAGTGAGGAAAGTTCCAGTCAGGAGGGGGAGAATCCTGCACTCTTGAGAGAGCTCACGGAGATTTCACAGTGATGTGCTGTACCGGGGAGTCTAGCAGCCTTCCCTTCCTGAGAATGTTACCTGGACATGTGGGGCAGCACGTTCCCAGATGCTTGGAAGGGTTTTTACAATGAACAACACATCGCACCTCAGACTCTGTGACAACACCTTCCTGAAAAACAGAACGCCACAAACATGTCAGCCCAGAATTCCCATTGAGGAGCGATTCACTTTGGGCAAGTAACCAAGGGCATAGGGGAAGAGTCCAAACACAAGAGTGCAAAGGAAGGTGGGTGACAAGTCCAGAGGACATGGCACAAATGAGGTCACATCTCCCGGCTCACACCCCTGATGCTTTCGAACTCAGGGCACAAATCCTGTCTTGACCCTGTCCTCAGTCTTTCTCTTTGGCTCAAATTTCTTTCTTTTAAATCTAGTATTTAAGACCGTCTTACTGCCAGTCGGTAGTTGACAGAGTCTAGCGTTCATCCACAATTGTTTTAAGTTGTCAACACTTACTCTATTTTCTATAATTGTTATTCTACTTTAAGCCATTAATTATGAGGCACAGAGTACAAGCATAATACCCCAGCCTGGCATCTGGAGACCTAATTCCTTACCACACTTCTAGAAATAACAAGGCCAGCTCTGCCTTCACTCAGCCTCACGTAGAAAGCCTGGCTCTCAAAAATCAAACAATGAGATTAGATAAAACTACTTTTTAAAATAATTTTTTCATGTTTATTTATTTTTGTGTGTGAGAGAGAGAGAGAGAGAGAGAGTGGGGAAGGGGCAGAGAGAAAGGGAGACACAGAATCTGAAGCAGGCTCCAGGCTCTGAGCTGTCAGCACAGAGCCCAACATGGGGCTCAAACTCATGAACCACCAATCATGACCTGAGTTGAAGTCGCACACTTAACTGACTGAGCCATCCAGGCGCCCCAAGATACAACTACTTTAAAGTTCAAACTATATATGGAAAAATAGAGCCTTTAGATCTTAATGATGAAATCAAATGACTCACTTGCAAGTGGATCTTGGGATTCTAGTATTTTAATGTCAACTGAAACATTTTTTAAATTAATTTTCAGAGTTAGCCTTTGAAGAATTTTCTCCGTATTCTCTGTCCATTTTATAAGTGGATTTTGTGTGTGTGTGTGTGTGTGTGTGTGTGTGTGTGTGTGTGTGTGTTTAATTTTGTTTTGCAGGGAGGGGTGGCACATGCTAAGAAAAAAAATTAACAATTTGACAACTGAATAATTTTCTTCGTCCTGTCTGCCACCATATTATCTCAATCCAACAAGGAAAGTTATATCCTAAATATCTTCGTATCTGTCAGGCCTGAAGATTCCACTACCAGAGGAATTTATTGTGGTCTATATCGCATTTGGAAAAGAAAAGAACAACAGTCAAAATATCACAATATACCACATCAAAAAAGGATCTGTGCTTCAGTTATATAACTGAAGCAATACAAAAAGCTATGGCCCAAGATCAATTTCCCTTCAGTATCTGCAATCCAGATGGAGGATTCAGATTTGTTCCCAGCATGAATTTCCTGTCTGTGATCTTCAGATTTTTCTCTTTAGTAAGAAAAGTAAAAGTGGAAAATAAAGGTAAATTTTTCACCATCGGAACTCTTTTGGTAGGAGGATAGAAGAAAGAAGCTAGAATTCAGCTCAAATGGAAATAAACCAGGTAGTCAGACTACCTGTTACCTGCCTGGTACACCTATTGTGTCCAGTCCATACCTCTACCATAAGTGTCTTTAACCACAGACTGACTTACTGCTCACGTTACTCTATGAGATGTACCATCCTCACTTCACAGGAGACAAGACTGAGAGGTTAGAGAAAGAAACACATTATGTGAGTGGCAGAGCCTGTTTTTTTTTTTTTTTTTTCACTCACTACACTGCACTCTCTCCTCTGTTACTGATTTCATGCCCTGAGAAAGGAAGAGCTTAGAGAGTTTGCAATTGTCTCATTGTGCAGAGAAGTGTCTTAAGTGAAGCCTCCCCTGAGGTACCAGTAAGTGGCTATTTCCCGCACCCACAGGTGAGGTTTCATTCCCTAACAGAGGAAGAAAATAAGCAGGAGTGGGAAGGTGCCAGCTGAGCTTTTACAACTACCTTAGAGTGTTGCTTTTAGGACTATTGAATGAAATGATATTTTAAAACTGACACATAGGACTCAGGCAAAGTTTTTCAAAAGGAGGAGAATGATTGGGGCGCCTGGGTGGCTCAGTTGGTTAAGCATCTGACTTAGGCTCAGGTCATGATCTTTCAGTTCGTGGGTTTGAGCCCCACGTCGGGCTCTGTGCTGACAGCTGGGAGCCTGGAGCCTGCTTCAGATTCTGCATTTCCTCTCTCTACCCCTCCCCTACTCTCTCTCTCTCTCTCTCTCTCTCTCTTTCTCTCTCTCTAAAAAATAAATAAACATTAAAAAAAATTTTTTTTAAAGAAGGAAAATGAAAAGGCAAAAGTTCATCTTTGGTAGATAACATCCCCTCTGGGCTCTATTCTGCAGTTCAGCCCTTCCTGACTCCCAGGGCTGTTAGTCCTTGAGATCTCTTCCAATAATAATGGGATATTCCCGCATCATTCTCTGTGGGCCTGATGAGTAGCCGGTGACCTAAGACGATAGGCAGTAGGAGTTGCAGTGTCCACAACTGAAAATGGCTTCATGTGCTACTCGGTCTACAAATTATTTCCTCCCACAGAATAGTTTTCATTTAATTCAAACAAAGTCTTCATCCGAAAGTAGCAAACGTCACCACTGTTCCATGCAATTTGGGGATATTCAAGACCTCTGGCTGTTGCATAAAAATGTTATACTATACTCCAAAAGACAGAGGGTTGTCTTGTTTCAATTCCATGCAAGCAGGACTTTCCGAGTGCCCCTCTGAAGGAGGGGAAATTTCATTGGTCAAGAAGTAGGGTGGGGTGGGGTGGTGCAAATTTTAGAATGACTGTGGACTTTTGATATTATTACAACTCACTGCTCTCATCTCTTTGTTCCATGAAGCATGAATTTACAGCTCTCAGAGCAAAAATTCAACAAATATTTATTGATTCCATTAATCTGTTATTGGTATCTGTTCTGTCTCCTGCTCATTTTAACAAATAATTTAGATTTACTACACAAATGATATGAATATTTAGCCAAATAAATAACTGATGACCTTAGGCGCGAGTGTGCCCACTCTGGGTATATAGCAGCATGGCTACATAAAAGTCGGATTTCAATAAACTAAATGTCAATATACTTGAGATAAGATCCAAGAGTAATAGGCATTATTACACTAACCTTTCTTTCCCCTTTCAATGCAAGAGCGTATCCCGGGACAGTAAAAGGGGACTAGGGGTAAAATGATTTAACAACATCTTCTCTATAGAGGATTTTTAAATAATGCCAAAATTAGATGAGCATTTTTTAAATTATTTCCTTAGAGATAAGAAAAGGAGTTTGAATGTTTAGATTCTTCATTTCTCCTTTAGTTTCTCTTGCTGTGTTGAAGCCCTATAACAACTAGAGTCCTGTAGAATCAGCACCCTTGGCAGAGAGCAGCCAGCACCAGCCACAGTGGGCTCCTTAGGAATTGAACTGGTGTTTCTCAAATTTGTCATGTTGAAATCATTGAGGTTAGAGTGTACTAATTGCTTTGATTTAATAAGCTTACAGATTGGCTCCCGTTCAAAATGTTTCTAAATCAGAGAAGGAAAACATATATCCTCTAACAATACCTCTTTCTGCTAACAGGAATTCATGTTTTGCACAAAGTTGACTCACAGGAAGACATGAATTTTCCCCAAGGACATATACATCTTTCCGGAGATTTTCCAGGCGCAATTTAACAATGGTGAACAATTCCACTGCATGTTTCTGGAAGCAAGTGCGATATAATATCTACTCTGTGCCTGTCTTGTTATGGTGAACATCACAATAAATATGTATAAGGATACAGTTGGTTTTTTATTTGTTTCTCATTTCTGTTTCACTTTTTTTTTGTTTGTTTCCTTCTGTGCTGTCTAAAAGGTGCTTCTGAGGAAGACTTTACTGATTCCTTTTCAGTGGAAAATAAAATAGACTTTACCTGGCACTGACGTAGAACACAGGGTTGTGCAGGACTCTGCCATCTGAAGGAGCTGTTATAGGTACTTCCCTCATAGGTGCAACCTAAACGTGAAACACAGAAGCAGGAAAAAGACCAAGAGTGAATACGTGTTTCCTTTTTCTTTGGAGCAAAAGAAGTTATGTCTTCTAAGCCAGGACTGGCAATAGCAGGAACCATCATGTTCCTTGGCTATTTTCTCCAAAACACAACTAAGCCTTCTAAATATCCACTTGGTTTTCACTTACATTAATTCTTTGACTACTAAGCAGATTAACCCCCAAGACTATGTTTTCAAATGGAAAAGCATGGATTGATGTACTCTCTTGGCCAAAATGCATGACCTCATGACTTTATGCTCACTGACGTAGGAGGAGCACCAGGGCTAAAATCACCACTGTGAAAGGGGATTTTTCATAAGGCTTAAATGAACACAAAATTGCTGAAGGTCAAGAGGGAAGGTTAAAACATGGTAGGAAATAAAAGCAGGATATTAAAATACAGGAAATGATTATGAAATTCTATATGTATCTAAGACTCTTGGCAAGCTACTGTCTTCACCAGATGAAAACCTCCCATCTCTTGCCTCCCAGTTTAAGGGCTATGATTTCACATTTCACCTTGATCTTACTTTAAGTAGTGAACTAGATTAAGGAAATCTGAAACCATAAATTTATGGGTTATCACAAGTTAATTCACCAGCCAAAACAGAAGTCATGTTCATTCATTGGCAAAAACAGGTCAAAGGCCAGAGATCCTCAAAAGAGGAAACAAGCCAATTAGCTTAAGTCCCTGTAGAAAGAGCCAAAGAAATAATGGCACAAGGATCACAGCCTAGATCTTAATTTAGCTTGACCAAATATCGCCCTGCACCTTGTGTGGTACACTTTCAGGGAAGATGTTACTGCCTATGTCACTAGTCACTGTATATTAGATTATGAGGAGCCCACCAGGCAAAGGGTCTTAGGAATTACAGTCTGACTGCTTAGCCCAAGGAGTACAGAAGCAGGAACACATACACGGGATAATGCAGAAATAAAAAGTCCTGCCTCTCTGTACCAATGACTGACTTCTGACAAGCCAATCAACCTCAATCCACATCAGTTTTTCTTGTCCAAGATACAGACAGAAGACTCATACCTCCTTCCCTGAATTCTTTTAGATAATGCTGTGGTAATGAAATAAAATAAAATAAAATAAAATAAAATAAAATAAAATAAAATAAAA